CATTAGCCCAGAATATCAGAATTGGGTTGCTATAGTTTTCCATTGACTTTAATCACAGGGCATGGTAGCACTAAGAGATGTTCTAAAGAATCTCCTGAATTCCAAACATATTCTTCTTTACGTCTGTTATGTATTGTCAGTCCAACTTCCCCTTGGTAATCAGGATCTATCACACCAGATAGTACAGTAACACCCTTCTTTGTCTGTTGATCCAGAGGCATGAGGACTTCAAAATGGGCAGGTGGCATTCTTAACTTCCAGTTCAATGCAATCAGTACCGTGTCTCCAGGTGGGCATGTTCCTCCCTTTAGGACTAAGACCTCCAGACCCACAGAGCATAGGGTCACAGGGACAGGAAGCAAAAATCTTTTGAGTGGGTCCCTAGGGGTAGCAGTGAGTGGTGTCACTCTCCGGGTGACTTCCCCGGCCTGGGTTTTCACTGCTCCTCTGATGGCTTCCAATGCTTCTTACCAGTCTGCTCCGCCTCTCCCAGAGCTGCAGAAGGGGTCTGCGTCTAACCGCCCCTGATACCTCCACCTGGATGTCCAGCAGGCCTCTGGCCTCCCACCTGCTGGAGCCCCCAAGTCGCCCCTTCTTGTCTCAGGAGATGGCAGCCCCCACCTTTTGGTTTCTCTGGTCAGAATGCCTTCCTCCCACATATGTCCAAAGCATCAGCAAGTCTCGATGCTCTGCCTTCAAAACAGACCGGGAACCCCCCCACCTCTCACCGCTGCCAGCATCCTGGTCCCAGCCACCACCATCTCTCCCAGTCCCAGTGCCCAGAACAGAGCCTGGTAGGCGGTAAAATGTGAAAAACAAACAAACCCGTTGTGGAGTCAATTCCGACTCATGGCGACCCCATGGGTTATAGAGCAGAACTACTCCATGGAGTTTTCTTGTCACAATGGTTAAGCACTCAGTTACTAATCTGAAGGCTGCCGATTTGAACCCACCCATCAGCTCTGCAAGAGAATAGCCCTGGCTCTGTTCTCACAAAGACTGCAGCCTAGGAAATCCTACGGGGCAATTCTACTCTGTCCTACAGGGTCCCGAGTCAGATGGACTTGCTGGCACACAACAACAACAATAACTGTCATGGAGGCAGTTCTCCAAGTCTTTGTCCAGCAGAGTCTCTGGGTGGGTCCAACCACCAACCTTCAGGTTAACAGCCAGTTGCAAACTGCTCTTGCCACCCAGGCTCCAGGAACATGTTCTCAACAAATGCTATTATTGTTGTTACTGTTACTGCTGTCACCAGCTGTGCTCTGAGGGACTCTGGCGCAGACAGTTGGCACAGAGCAGGGAGGAGAGGGACCATGCTGCAAGGCACTGGAGCCGAGAATTTGAGAATTTCATCCCTGGCACCTGAGAGGCAGCCTGGGAACCCCTGACATAACCGGGGAAGGCATCCTGGGAGGCTGCTGAGACCCTGTGGTCACACAGACGGGTGCTGCAAGCCGCCAGAATCAGACGTGAAGTTTCATACAACCCTGCTGTCCAGAGCTGGACAGGCTGAGGACACACAAAGGCCTCTGGGCTGGCCGGCAGTCAGGGAGAGTCACAGTGAAGAGCCAGTGTGTCCTGAGTATGGAAAGCACTAGACTGGGGCAGACCCCTGTGCTCCCAGGCGAGTCGCTGCTCCGGGCCTCAGTTTCCCCACATGCACACCAAAGGTGCTGGACTCAGTGTTATACAGGGCTGGCCCAGCTCTGAGAGTTGCCAGGTTGGGTGGGGGTGGGGCAGGTGCCTCCCGGTCCCCAGGACCTACCCGGTCGAAGACGTTGTTGAAGCTGTGGGGGCTGGTGACATCGAAGCAGAGCAGCAGGACGCTGGCGTCAGGGTAGAAGAGGGGCCGCAGGCGGTCGTAGTCTTCCTGCCCTGGGCAAAGTGGGGACGGTCACTCCCTCCCACCCCCTGTTGGCGCCTCGCCAGCATCAGCTGGTGCCACCCGGCCACACAGTGGGGTGGGCCAGCTTCCCAGAGGCCAGGGCTTGGTCCTGGGCCTCAGGGTCCAATGCGAAGCTGGCTGCACTGGGTGAATGCCCCACTTGGCAGCACTGGCCTGGGCGAGGTCCTCGCTTTGAGAGGCCACTGTGCTGGAAAGGGTGGGATGAGACAGAGGCCAGGCCTGGAGGAGCAGAGGCTAGTCACCCAGAGGCCGACTCTGCCCTGGGCTTGGGGAGTGAAGGGTAGGCAGGTAGTCCTCACAAAAGCCTGTGGGCCCATCTTGGGTCAGCAAGCTGGTGGGATTCTCTGTGCTTAGCTATGAACTGTAATGCAGACTTGACTCTGAACCCTTATATTGATAGGCAAAGTCAGGAGGTAGGAGGGCAGAGGTCAAAGTCAAGGTCAGGTGGCTCTTCCATAAGCTAGGGTGGAACTCGGAGGAGCCACACACAGTCCACCCCTTGAGAGCAAAGTGCTCTAGATGTCCCCTTGTCTCCAGGACATGGTGGCTGCCCTGGATGGGACAGGCAGGTGGATAGAAACACAGAAACAAGGAGGGAGAACCTTCTGGGACCTCCCAACCCTGACCAACACCTGTCCCTTGGAGACTGGTTGGCCTCCCCAGGGCAGGAAGGGACAGGGCTCTGTTCCCCAGCATCTGGGGACCACGGACACCCCTCCTCTGGTCCCCACTCTCCCAGCCCCAGCACACTCACCTGCCGTGTCCCAGATCTGGAGGTTCACAGGTTTGCCCTTTATCTGCAGATTGACGGAGTACCGCTCAAACACTGTGGGGGTGTAGTTCTGGGGAGGAAGAGGGCAAAGGGGTGTGAGGCCAGCAGTTGAGAGGGGTGGGGTCCTGGGGCACCTAGGCAGAGCCCAAGGGATGCCCCAGCATCGCCCTCACTTCAGAGGCGGTCCAGTTTCTGGGAGGCTCCGAGTTGGCCAGCCCGGGATTGAGGCCTAGAGCCAGTTCCCTGCTGTGCGCCTTGGAGAAAGTACTAAACCTCTCTGGTCCTGATTCTCCTCATCTGCGAGATGGGAATAACAAAGGCGCCGCGGTGGAGTGCTGCGGTACGGACTCGGCGAGACTCCGAACAGAGCTGTGAGCACAGTGCCAGCACAAAACAAGCGCTCAATCCATGCCGGCCCCTTCGATCTCTGTCCCCCTGGACAGGGTGCACTCCCATTGCTGCACCTTCATTCGTGCTGTTCCCTCCTCCTGCAACCCCATTACCCTATGTCCCTTCGTTTGTTCGTGTATTCACTCAACAAACATTAGCACCTTCTCTGGGCCCAGTTCTGGCCACCAGGGATCAAGCAATAAACAAAACCCACCCCTGCTCTGGGGAGCTTGCAGCTTTGTGGGAGTCCCTCCTTTGCCTCTCAGCCTCTCACAGTCCTGCCCAGACCCCGCCAAATGCCACCCCATCGTGCTTGCCCTGGTCTCCCCGTCCTTGGCCCTGGACAAGTTTCTGTCGTGGGTTACGGTACAGCCCCAGGAGTAGGCACGGTGCAGAGCCACCACCCAGTACTGCCTGAGCTGGGCTCCTGCACAGTTTAGACTGGAGGCTCGGGAAACACAGAGGAACACGAGGAAATGAAGAGGTAGCATGCAAAGATGGGGTCATAGCAAACGGGTGAGGTTTTCAAAATGCCCTGCCAGGCAAGCCCTTTACCCTTAGGGGTCCCCAGGCCTCACCCCTGCTCAGGGCTGGTGGGGTCATGGCCTAGGGGACCCTGCCTTCCCTTCTCTCCTACCTGCTGGTGGAGGACTTGGAGCCTGCCTGCGAGTCAGGGCCTGCTCAGCTGAGAGGGTCAGTCCCTCTGCAGTGGGCACCTGGGATGCTGCCAGGCTGGGATGGGGTGGGGAGAAAGGCAGTGGAGGAGGGAGGTGGGGGGATGGAGAACTGGGGCTGGACAGCCACCCTGTCCCGCCCTCTACCAGCAGGAACAGGCAGGGACCCTACCCACCAGCCCATGCCCTTGTGCCTGCCCCAGCGCCCTGCCCCTCAGACCCTCTGGTGGTGGGGAAAATGTCAGCTTGGAGGGCTGACTTTGGAATCAGATGTGCCTGTCGCTCACCAGCTGTGTGACCCTGGGCCAGTCACCCAGAGTCTCTGGGCCGGAGCCCCTCACTGGTTAAAGGGGACAATGTGGTGGGGAGACTCATGGGCAGGGGAGACCCTCAGCACCTAGAAAGCTGGAGGCCAGGGCAGCGTCCAGCCCCTTCCCTAACCCTTCTCCAGCCCAGGAGCAGGAGCTGGCCACCTGGAGGGCTGAATCGAGCTCACAGCTCTGCCACCCCCTCCGGTTGGCAGACCCTGATCAGGTCTCCTCCGGCTCACAACCACCCCACGTGTTACACTGTGGGGCTGCCCCACAGGGGTTCCTTAGCTGTCATCTTCTCAGGAACAGGTTTCCCGGCCTTCCTTCCGTGGTGCTTCCACGTGCATCCAACTACCAACCAAACCCAACCCACTGCCATCGACTCCATTCTGACTCATAGGGACCCTACAGGACAGAGCAGAACCGCCCCGGAGGGTTGCTGAGGCTCTGAGTCTTTAAGAAAGCAGACTGCCACGTCTTTCTTCCACGTAACGGCTGGTGGCATTGAACCACGGTTAGTAGCCATGCACTTTAACCACAGTGCCACCAGGGCTCCTCTTCAGCACAGACTGCACCACCCAGGACCTTAGAAGTCAGCACAACCCCCATCTTCCTGATGGGGACACTGAGGCCCAGAGAGGGAAGTGACTTGCCCAGGTGGCACATCTAGACAGCTGGTTAGTGACTGAGCCAGCTCTCTCTGGCCCCAGAGGCCAGGCTCTGTTACTGGTCTCCATCTCCAGCTCCTGCCCTGTTTCTGGTGCCAGAAGGGAGCGAGAAAGGCCCTGTGGTGGTTGTGTTTGTGTGTCAGCTTGGCTGGGCCTGGCTGAGTGGCTGGGCAGCTGGTGGTAGTTATTCCCCAGGATGAGACTGGCAATCAGCTCCATGGTGAGATCTACCATAAGCAGCTGAGTAGCTGCCTTTGGGATGTGGTCTGCTTCTTGCATATAAGGAGAAGCCTTGGGAATGGTCTCTAGCCTATGGCACGCTTGGACCCTGCATGTAGCCGTGTCGTTGCTCAACAGCCTGCTATGCTCTGCTGATCTTGGGACTTACAACGGACTTAAGTTAACGGCCTGCCGTGTGGTTGGATAACCACAACAGGCCCATTCCAGGGCTTGGGGCTGGGTTCTCCTCTAGCAAGCAACTGTCACAACCTTCCCTTTATGCAGGAACATCATCCTAGAGTTGTGTTTACACCTGGTGTGTTCTTTGAACACTCAGGTAGGTTATCCCCTGTCCAGGGGACCAGTAAGCACCTCATCTTATCTGTGGAGCTGTCCCCAGCCAGAAAGGGCAGGGCTAGCCGGTGCTGGGCCAGACAGAGTGATTCAGCCTCAGGTCTGACCTCGTGGTGCTCACCGACGGGTCAGCACCCAGGGGAGATGCAGCTTGAGGGCGAGTATGGGGGTTTGCCTTGGCAGGATACCCATGGGGGTCCCAGGACAGACCAGGAGGGGCTCCCCTGGCTTGAGCAGGCAGGGCTGGGTGCTCCCTCCTCTCACATCACCCTGCTCTCCCTGCACTGAAGCTGAGGCTGGGTTGCAGCTAGATGAGGGTCACTGAGGCTCCTCAAAGTCCCCAGCTTGCTTTCTGTGCTTTGCTGCAGGCAGGAAATCTGGGAGATAGGGCCCTAAACCTCTCAGCTTCTGGCTCCCTGGGCTTGAAGGGCTGCCTGGAGGAGGAGTCTGGGCTAGGGCAGGAGAGGCTGGGTCCACAGGCACAGCCGCACTGGGAGCTGTGGAGAGTGCCCTGACCCGGAATGGGGCCGCCTAGGTTCTAGACCGGCGCTGTGGGCTGTGCACCCCAATGCCAGGCTCTAACTCTCAGGCCTCAGTTTCCCATCTGTAAGATGAAGGCCTTTCTCTTAGACCGCGTGTCTAACAGAAGGTCTTGTACCTGGAGTTTTGCACTTGGAGTCGGATGGGTCCTAGGGAACTCCCGTTCCCAGACAGGAGGAGACTGCATGAGGCCAGGCCCACTGCCCTGCTGACAGGAATGCCCTCCCCCTCCCCAGCAGCCCCCCCGTGGATTGTGGAGCCAAGATATTCATTTCTTGCCTTTTAACCTCTCTCAAATGGGGACAGGCGCCGAGGACACTAGCCATGAGGCGTCCCCCGGCAGCCCGCAGGAGGCCAGAGCCCTCCCCAGTCCTGTCCTGGCCTCTCTGAGGTACTGTAATTGCTGGGTTCCCACATGGGCAGCATCTGGGGGCCCGGAAACACGTCTCCCCCACAACTTAAAAAATGTGTGGCTGGCCAAAAAGGATGTGAGTCAACTTCGTAGGCATGAAAAAGGAGTTTTGGCTGGACACTGGCACAGTGTCCATAGAGGCTGCACACCGCAGCATCCTGGCCCAGCCTCCTGGCCTCCCCAGCAGCCCACAGCAGAGCTCCAGGATGGTGGGGAGGAGGGAGGGAGCAAGGGGGAGAGGAAGAGCCGTGGAAGCAAACCCAAGGATTCCTGGCAGACTGGTCCAAAACGGGGCACACCTGCTTAGTTCACCTGGACACTCCGTGTTCCTGGGGGAGGTGATGGGCTGACGGTCAGCATGCCCAGAGTGCCAGTGACCTCCCAGGCCCCTCAGAGCCACCGTCTGTCAGTGGCTCCTGATTCCCACCTCCACCCATGAGGCTGCTGGGAGGAAATCGAGGCCCAGGGAAGCTAAAGACAGTTACTGAGGGTAAGAGGTCAGTCAGAGCCAGCTGAGAGGCCAGCCAGCAGTCTGGATCCAGAGCCTGGTGCTCCTGCCCCGAGGCAGAGCCCACCTGTGCCCGGGGTGGGGGAAGCGAGCCAGGAATGACCTTAGCCAGCCTTCAGGGAGTCCTTACTTTGCACAGGCTGAGCGTGAGTGACCTGTGTCCACCCACTCCCCATAATAACCCTGAGAGAGAACACAGGCCTTGACCCTATTTGGCAGTTAAGGAGGTGGGCACAGAGAAGGTAGGAGGCTTGCTCAAGGGTGCACAGCTGTAAGTGGCAAAGCCATGAGTGGGCATCCAAGATGCCTGGCTCCCCGTGGGCCCACTCAGCCATGCTGGGCCCCCCAATGCTCTCTGAGGGCCAGCTATGTACCCAGGTTGCCAGGTTCAGTCTCCGGGCCACCCCCTCAGCGGTGTCATTGTGCCCACTTTACCGATGCCATCCCTGAGGCCAGCCGGCAGGGCGAGAAGGGAATGCTGCCCATGGTTACAGTCCCTCCAGGGGGACCCTCTGGGAGGCGCACTTCTGGGGAACTTCCGGATCGATAGGAGTGGCACTCACCTCGGGGAAGTTCCCTTCGGTGAAGACCCTCAGCAACGACGTCTTCCCGCAGCCACCGTCGCCCACCAGGACCACCTTGGCGGACCGCACGCCTGGCGGCGCCTCCTCGCCCGCGGCCTGGGCCGCCTTCATGCCGGGCCGCGAGGGTCCGGGCGCAGCGACCGGCAGCTGCGGCGGCGGGGACCGGCGCGGGGACCGCGCGGCCAGGAATGTGGGCGGGGCTTCGGAGCAGCGGGGGCGGGGCAGGTGAGCGGCCGGGAGCGCCCGCTCGGAGCGACCTCAGGGACAAGTCTCGGGGTGTGTAGGCGCCGGGGCCCGGTGGGCGGAGCCTCGCGCTGCACCCGGCCTGGTGGGGGGCGGGCGGTTGCCGGGTGACGGGAGGGGGGCCCAGGCGCGTCTCGGGAAAATAGCTCCCAGGGCCAGGAGTGAAGTTGCGGCCGGGTCCAAACATCTGGCACCCATCTTAAATATTTGGCATCCGCGTTCCCATTGGACAGTTAACCCAACAATCAAAACTCTGCCTCCGGGGGCCCACTTGTGCATTTTCGTGGAAGAGAGACCATCTTTTTAAAAAACTAGATCTCCTGCCTCCCTTTGCCTTGGTCCTTCTCCAGCCTCAGTGCACTTTCCCCTGCAGTTTGGTGGAAGGTTACATTAGAAGGAAATAGTCCCTAAGGTCTAGAAACTTTTCAAGGGAAAAAGAGGGCGTTTGACGTCAGGGTGGGTGGATTGGAGGCCTGAGCTGGGACTTCAGGATCCGCGAACGCCCGGGGGCCAGGGCAGCCCGTGGGGGTGTGGAGGCCCGGGCGGCGGGGGTGAGACCTAGCAGTCCAGGAGGGCTGTCGGGAAGGGGAGGCAGGGAAGAAGAAGCCCTGAAGTCTGGACAGGGCTCTCAAATACGAAAGCGTTCCTTTTGGACTCGCTGGCGCTGGGAACTACTATGGTTAATAGAAACCGTGCAGTGGCGCCCCCTTCTTGTGACGCCCCGGGCACGTACCATTCCTGCCTTTGAGGAGGGGGTTGTTGGTGGTGGGTGCTTTTCGTTGTGATTCCTAGAGACCCCCTGTGGCAGAGTAGAACTGCCCCATAAGGCTTCCTTGGCTTGACAGTTCGCCAGGTTTTCTCCCATGGAACCACAGGTGGGTTCAAACAGCCAGGCCTTAGGTTAGCAGGCCAACTCGTCACCATTGCGTTACTGTTGTTGTTGTTGTTCTGTGCCGTGGAGTCGAACCTGACTCATAGAGACCCCTCCTTGGGTTTCCCAGGAGGTATCACTACGGAAGTAGATTGCCCAACCTTCCTTCAGAGGACTGGCTGCTGGGTTTGAACCCCCAGCCTTCTGGTTAGCAGTCAAGTGCCTTAGGCACTATGCGCCATTAGGGATCCTTTACTAAAGGGAGGGGGCAGGGCCAGGAGGCACCTGGCTACTTCACCAGGAAGAAGAGTGTAGGGGGCAGCCCCGGTTGGGCTGCCAGCTCTGGGGACAAGACCTGGGTCCCTGGTGCGCAGCGTGGGCCAGGCACCGAGCAGGATCTTGAATGAATGAATGTATTTTCCCCAGGGCCTCTGGAGACAGGGTTCTAGGCCACATCACAGCCCTCCCTGCAGGTGTTTTCGGGTCAGGTGGGAAGGAAGCAGCCTGGGCATGCCTTTATGGGTCACTAGTTGGCCCTGCCAGGCCATCTGCCTTCCCCCACTGGCACCAGGAAGTTTCGCTTCATGTGGCTGACCACTTGTCTTCCTTCTGGCTGGGAGGCGTGACAAAGTGCTTAGAGCAATTTTTATTCTTTAACCAATATGAGGACCCCTCTGGGTCTGAGAGCCTAGGGACCCCAAAAATGACCAAGAGGAAGTCCCTGCTATGAAAGTGATGGCCTAGATGGGAAGACAGGAATCCATGTGGGAAGACAGGAATCCACACAGAAAGGCAGGGAATCCATATGACAAGAGCTCCACAGGGGCGGGGTGGGGGTGATTGGAGGTGGGGGGCGGCAGTATGGGAGAGGGATAGGGGCGGTCCTCAGCTTTGGACAGTTGTCAAGAAACCCTTCAGGAAGAGAGGCCTGTTGACCAGAGTCTTGAGGGAAAAGTGGGACCCAGTTAGATGGGAGAGGAAGGGTGTTCCAAACCAAGGGCACAGCCTGTGCAAGGGTACAGAGGTGAGAGACAGGGATGTTTCAGGGGCCGCAGCCCGTCCCTGTCCGGAGGGCACAGTTTGGTGGGAGAGCTGCTGCCAGGGGTGAGGGTTCAGCAGGGCTTGGGGGCTGGAGCACGCGGGTGCCAGGAATAGACACAGGATTGAACTGGAACAGCCCCACCCCCACCCGTTAGCAGCCCTGTTCTCTAGGGTTGAAATCTTTTTGAAATGAGTGTGAGGGTCTCTTCAGACCCTGGTCTCAGCGTTTCACTGAATCTTTAAGGAACCAGGGACCTGGGAAGTCTTTGGGTGTCATCCCCTCCCCCATGCAGGTCATGATGTCATCCTCCCAGGTGGATAAAAGAAACACCTTCAACCCCTTTGAACCTCACCCCTTGGGACAGCAGTCAGGACCTTCGCTGCAGAGAGGCCGGTGACTTATCCAGGTCCCACAGCTGTTGTCCAGATACCTGGACTCCTATTCTAGTGCTCCCTGCAAGGCCATGGTCAGCAGGCTGGGAGCCTCACGTGGATACAGGGAGAGTCCTCGGGATGTCTCCACCCTTTAGGTACCCTTTCCTCCTCGAAACTGCCCTGGGGCTGGGCAGTGACTTGGCATTGGACAGGGTGTGTAGCCGCTGAGTTGGGTTCCCCGCCCCAAGGAGTGGTGGGGAGGAGCCCATCCCCCACTCCTCAGCTGTCAGCCTGGCCATCCCCCAACATCCCTACTGATGCTGTCATCAGGCCTTGGGTAGCAAGGCTGGGAGGCAGGTGGGGCCAAAACTAGGGGCAGGGAGCAGAGGAGTTGGGCCTTGGTTGCTATGGGGATAATCACTGACGACACCTTGATGTCAGTCTGGCTTCACAGTTTCACTCAACAGGTCCTAATAACAGCACACATTAATGGCTTATGAGCCACCGGCAGACACTGTCCCCTGGGAGGTAGAGATTGTTAGCCCCATTTTACAGATAAGAAACCTGAAGTCCAGAGAGGTGAAGTTCTGTGCCTGAGATCCACAGAGGTAGAGCTGGAACTTGAACCCAGGTCTGACTGACCCCACAGCCAGGATCTCTCCCAACACCATGCCTCATGTACATTATTTCATTCAGCTCTCAGAGTGAGGTGGGCAAAGCAGGTCATATGCTCCCCACCCCTGGCAGGATTTGAACTCAGATCAGCCCCAGCCTCACCTCCACCTACATTCTGCTCCTGTAAGCAGGGCATTCGTCACCGGGCCATGGAAATCTGCCCTGGTCATCAGGGGATATCTGGGCCCTGAACTGTTTTCCTGGACCTTATTTTCAGAGTTGGGAGGTGGCCTAGGTCACAGTCTGCCCAGCCAGGGCACCTGGTGTGGCTTCAGCTGAGTGTGGCTGTGGCTTACTGCCTGTGGATGACTCAGCCCCTTCTGGCCCCACCCTGGCTGAGTTCAGAGTCCTTTTGGGACCCGCCCAGTAGTCACTGCCCCAAAGACCCTAGAACAGCAGAGGTGGTCAGGCCATCCCTCAGCCTGACCCAGAAGCCCCTCCTCAGGTGGCAGGCAGGGTCTCCCAGCCCTGAGCCAAGCCTGAACACCCCAAGGGAAGGGACCAAGGTTGATCCATCTCTGTCCTCTGAGATGAGTGCATGGCTCTGGATGTTATGACCGAGGGCTGCTAGGCTGGATGGACCAGGGGAGGAAAGGAAAAGGAAAAAGAGGGAAGGATTGAGCAAAGAAAGAATGAAGGAAGGAAAACAGGCTTGTCAGGAGAGGAAACAACACAACATGTGACTAGGAAAACATTACTGCATGGATGAGCGCATCACCTGAGTGTGGGTTTAGGGGACAGGTGACCAAACCACAGCCACCATCTGCTCAAGCTTCAGGCCCACAGCCCCCAGACATTGGTCCCTCTGCCCTGTTTTCTGACCCCTCCTCTCCCCAAGGCCAAACCCACCCCCACCTCAGGCCGATTGGCTCTCTGCTGCCTCTGTGTGGCCACTCTGTTCCCTACACCATCCTCATTCTGGGCTGCTAGCTTTCCTTGGGGTTCCTGGCTTGGTGGTGTGGGGTGTTTGTGGGTGGCTGGACGAGGGGGAAAGTGGGTGTCAGGGGCTGGCACCTCAAAGTCTGAGATGCCTGGGCAGGACACACAGGCCTGGAGTGTAATTCCTGAAGCCTTCTCCTCATCCCACCCTCTCCTCCATCCCGAACGCTCCCAGCAGCCTTTTGTCCTTGGCTTTTCTGCCCCAAACCATGGTTCCAGGTTGTGCGTGCACCCACTGTGTGCAGACACTTGGCATTCGTCATTTCATTTCATTCCTCTGAAGTAGGCCCAAGTCTTATCCCCCTGCTTGAAGCCCCTCTCCCTCCCCTAAGTGTTGCAATCCTTCTCACCCCAAGGCCAGTTCTTAATGTCATCTCCTCTGGGAAGCCTTCCCTGGTTTGCTTCCTCTACCAAGGCAGCAGCCTGTGTCACTGGATACCCTCTGAGCTGGTGGCCAGCTCGGGGAGTGGATGGGGGTGGGCGGGTAAGGAAGGGAGGAAAGGAAGAGGGCTGGAGGCGGGGTAGGAGGGAAGGGGCACAGAGTGGGGAGGGAACCACAGAGGCCTCCACAGACAGCCCCTATGCTGAGCCAGCTTCTTCTGCCTGGGAATTTTGTCGAAATCATCCGGGCCTGTGAATTCTGGTGAGGTGGGGTGGTGGGGAGTGGGAGGGGCCCAGAGCAGCCTGGGATCCGGAGGGGTTTCTCTGCTCTCCCTCAGTCCACATGTGAGGAGGCAGGGAGGGGTACAGTGTGGCCTAATGGTTAAAAGCACAGACTGTGAGCCAGATAGCCTGGGTTTGAATCCCGGCTTGGCAACAAATGGCTGTGTGATCTTGGGCTAGTCACCTAACCTCTCTGAGCAGGGCAAGTTTTTATGCACTCCTGTCCTTGTATATGCTGTTCCCTCTGCCAGAATGTTTTCCCTGCCTTGTCTACTGGATAATTCTACTTCCACCCTGTAGACAG